GTTACTTCAATTTGTTACTCTCCTGATGGTACTACATTAGCATCTGGTAGTGCAGATAAGTCGATCCGTTTATGGGATGTTAAAACAGGATAATAAAATGCCCAATTAGATGGTCATTCAAATGAAGTTAATTCAATTTGTTACTCTCCTGATGGTACTACATTAGCATCTGGTAGTTTTGCAGAAATTTGTTTATGGGATGTTAAAACAGGATAATAAAAAGCCCAATTAGGTCATTTAAGTGCAGTTACTTCAATTTGTTACTCTCCTGATGGTACTACTCTAGCATCTGGTAGTACAGATAAGTCTATCCGTTTATGGGATGTTAAGACAGGATAATAAAAAGCCAAATTAGATGGTCATTTAAGTGCAGTTACTTCAATTTGTTACTCTCCTGATGGTACTACATTAGCATCTGGTAGTTGGGATAGGTCGATCCGTTTATGGGATGTTGAGACAGGATAATAAAAAGCCAAATTAGATGGTCATTTGGGTGTGGTTACTTCAATTTGTTACTTTCCGGATGGTACTACATTAGCATCTGGTAGTCATGATGAGTCTATCCGTTTATGGGATGTTAAGAAAGGATAATAAAAAGCCAAATTGGATGGTCATTCAGATTTTGTTTTGCCATTTTGTTACTCTCCTGATGGAAATAAATTAGCTTCTGGTAGTAGCGATAACTCTATTCGCTTATGGGATGTAAAAACATCATTGCCAAATGGTATTTATTATTAATAATTATTTAGTTAATCTTGATCGTACAATACTTAGAATATGCTAGAATCCTATTTTAGAAGCATTAGGAACACTCATCCTATAAGGACAATTCATGAATTATTAAGGGATAGATTTAAAACCATTGTTTAAATCCAAAGGAAGTTTCTTTTTAGAAGACTTAAAGCATAAGTGAATTTGAATATTCATAAAAAACATTACAATTACAATTTTAATCATTTTCATATAACTTTTTTGAATAATATGTTTCTTTGTTTCAATTCTTGATCTTCAAATTCCCAATATTCGATAAGTACATGTTTTTTAATAGTATTCCATTTCAAGCAGGTTATTAAACCATTTTAGTTAAATGCTATTTAAATATTTGGTAAATATTTAGATGTCAGAAACAACAGTTGTAAATTAATATTTATGGATATACAATACTATTAAATTTATAATCTAAGCAGAGTAAACAGGTTAAGCCTTAAATTAATAGTTTAGTAAAATTTTAGATTTTTAGTTTATAAAAAAGAAAAGATACAATTAATAACAATGATAACAGTTCAAAAAGTATAAACTAAATCTTAGAAATAATCTAAACTATAACATTAAAATTCTATTCCAGATAATATTTTAAATCTAGAAAAAGACTGAAAATATATATTAATCAAGATTTAAGGAGGTAATTTATATATCCTTCTCTTACACCCATCTAATAATCTTAAATGCTGATTAATTCAAGATTTATCTGAATTCTTACATAAATTCAAAGGAGCAACCTAAAGCTATAATTAGTTAGAAATGATATTATTTTCAAATGAGTTCATCAACTATCAACTAGTACAATTTAAAAATTAATTAATTCATTATGATATAAATTGTTATTGTTATATTCATAAAAATGATGAAAAAATAAAAAAATCAATCTTCTCTATAACTATGAGTTTAAATCTATTAAACAATAAATTTTTAAAAAGTTTGAATTACTATTAAGCATCTAAGCATTTAATTAAGAAAAAATTTCTATTTTCAGAAAATAATCTCCCTTGTAAAGAGTTGAAATTGGATTGTATAAGTTGACCAGAAATCACAATTCATAGATTATATACTCTAACTCAAAATGCTTAAAGTTAAAATTAGTTTTAATTAATAATGTTGTATTCTTGACCCATTTTTTGCTTTACAACATCTCAATCAACTGTGAGTTCTGAATTAAATTCATTGGAATCAATTACTATTTTAAGAAATAGAATTTATTTCAATAGGTCAGAGATTTATTTAGTCTTTGACGAATAATTCGTTTTCGAACATTCAATTTTGCATTTTGTTCCAAAAAGTTATACTTAAATTTGATATTAAGATTTTCAATATTGATTTTTTTATTGGCAAATAACTAAACAGTTTGAGGAATACATATATTCATATTAGATAAGATTACTACAACTTTTCTTTGTTATTGATCAGCATATAGATCTTTTTTAATTATGTAATTAATTCTGTTTATAAATTCTATAAAAAATTGCATTATCTGATAAAGGATTATTTCATTAATTTTAAGAATTTAAAGTAATAGGGAAATGCACATATATTTACCAAAAGAATAAATTATCATTGAGTGATTACTTCGAATGATTTACAACCATCAGTAAATCTCTTAGAAAATAAAATGAAATATAAATCATAAAATACTAGATATATTATTTTCAGCAGTATTTGTGTATTCATTCTTTGAACGTAAACACGCATCATTAAAAGCAGGTTGAATATCTTTCCCTTTCGATTTATATGCTTAAGAAAAGTTTAAAATTATATATATTTCAATTTAATTAAAACCCAGAATATCACCTCTAAGATGTTTATTTACCATTTAGCCTTTGCAATCTTTGTGTTTGTACTTTAAATATTATTGCTCTATTTTCTTTACTTTAGAAAGCCCTCAAATAAATTAATTGAAAAAAAATAAAATAAAGTGATTCCAATCCTTGAATAGGTACATATGTAATTGCACCGTTCTCAATCAGTTGAGCAAACAAAAAAGAAGGATTTTAGACGTAAAATTAATCAAATGGAAACTAAATCTGGTGAAACTGCTATTGAATCAACTAACACAAATTAATATAAACCATTTAAGACTACATCATAAATGTTTTCATCAAAATATTATATCATTAAAGTCAGTTCTAATGTGGTTACTCTAGATGCTTCTCAAAAAAAAGAGTAATTAAAATCAATACCTTCAATGCAAGAACTACCAGAAACTGTTAGAGCACAAGATACTAATTTAATAACTATTACAGAACCAGAATAAACTATAACAGAATTCTTAAATTCAAGAACCATTTTCAAATTAATCAATAGATTAATAGTATTATAAGGTTTTTTAGGATGCTTACTATTTTTTAATTTGCATTTTGCATTGGCAAGTCTACTATCATTAATCACAATCTGGATTCTTAGATTTTTCTAAACAACAAATATTTATATCGATGTTCTCCAATTAATATTATTTATTTCTTTTGACATTACCTCTTTATGTTTTTTTTATCCAAACAAAATATGGACTTATACTTATTTAGTTTTATTTGCTATCGAAATTGTATTAGAACTAATAATTTTGAACACACAAAAATAAAAAAACTTTGAAAATTTACAGGCCTCTGCATAGCAACAAACTTGATTTTATTGCTCCTTTATTTGATTTATTTCTATAATGATTTTTACTATAACTTAATTATGAAGGAGGAATATTCTGAACAGCTTTTTCTTATGTTCTTGAGTAAGATATAAAATATCAAATAATTCAAATTACGTTTGTATTATAATTCAATTTTTGTTGTTTTTGTTGTTTAAAACTAAATGCTCATATAGAACATTAGTGGTGGACAAAAGTGGAAATTAATCATATTTTAGTTCAGATTTTTTAAAATGAACATATTGATTCCCAAATCCTGGTATCGAAGTTTGATTTTTTACATAAACTTGATTTAAAAATGATTGAAATTAACAATCAAACTATTTAACAATTTATTGATGAGATCTAAGAGATTTAAGGATTGTTCAATTATTCAAATAGAGATTCGAAAAACAGTGAGTTCTATCTTTTTAATATTAAAATCTATATTGCATATATAGTTTGCCTCTCTGCTTTATTCTTGCCAAAATCTTTCACTTTAATTTAAAACTACACACCCGCAACAATCAAATCTGTAGTGTTCAAATTAATAACATAGATTTCTTGGATTCAACTAAATGCAAAAGCCTGTTAAATTTCGAACCTGAAACCTTCTGTCCTAAATTTAATATTTTTTTAGAGGAGCAATACCTCTATAATTATTTATTCTTAGATATTTATAGTAATTATCTTTATATAATAAGGGATTGATGTATTTAAGATTAAATTCATTATTTATTAATTTAAGGAAAACCTATCAATTATCTTTTTTCTCAACAACTCATTTTTTCTGATACAAAGCGTAGACTCGACTCCAGCGTCATTTATCTTGTTTCTTTGAGTAAATGAATTCGTGGCATATTAAGTTATAGTTGCAAAATATTCAGAATGGTTGTTTCTACTTTTCAGTGACTTTAATGGGTTAGAAGACTCTACTTACCCTTTCCCAGTTTTACAGAGAGAGAGAGAACAAGTGTTCTTCTGGCGTCTACTGTTATTGATTTCAATCTAAGTTAGTGAATCAGTGATCGATGCTTTTATTTTAGGATTAGTGAAAAGGAATGAGGGTATTAATTCATTATGAATATTAATCTATGGTTTTCATATTAATCAAATCTTGTCACCCGCAGCTTACCTTAAGGAAAGTTATTCTCTAACAATTCTTAGCGTTTTATTGACGAGCCCAATAGTATCAAAACAACTTATTGATCAAATTTTTATTGAAAATTAAATGTCATTTAATACCTAGCAGATTTAGCATTGCCATAATCTTTAGCAGCTTCTTTACATTGATTCCATCTGTTCTTCTCTCACGAAGTAGATCAAATTTCTAGTTGGTGAATGAAGCTTCCGCTTCTCTAATGATGTATGAAATGCTTGTGAAATCAGATTCATCACATCCTAATTCAAATCCAGTCACTGTGAGAGAGATAGCCATGCATCTTCTTGTTTTGTTATAAGCCTCTGCTCTCTGTCTTCTACAAAATTTTGTAAACTTAACGAATTGCTAATTCATCTGTCAAACTTTGCTTTGCTTGCAATTTGACTCAATAATTTTATCACTAAAGCAAATCTCACTATATGTTTGAAATGTGATAATTTTCTACATGATTCTTCTAACTACTAAATTTTTATATGCTACTGATCTTGAATTTAAATACATAATTCAAATAAAATCTTCTTCCTTCTACATAATTTTTTATGCTACATACCAAATTATTTATTATTCATTGAAACTATTTAATATAGAAATCTAAATATAAAATTTTTTACAAATAAAATAATAAGATGAATTAAATGGACCTTATAAAATTTCATTAGAAGTGTGTATTTTTGAATCTTTCTAAGCCCTGTTAATTTTTAACCATTCCATCTCTAATTTTTCATAAAGAAAACTAAGAATGTATCAAATAATTAATGATATTCGTTTTTTGATAAACAATATTAAAATAAAATAATGAAGTACTTTCTTGTGTTGGCTTTGATTACATTCTCATATGCTACAACTTTGACAGNGAGGAGCAATACCTCTATAATTATTTATTCTTAGATATTTATAGTAATTATCTTTATATAATAAGGGATTGATGTATTTAAGATTAAATTCATTATTTATTAATTTAAGGAAAACCTATCAATTATCTTTTTTCTCAACAACTCATTTTTTCTGATACAAAGCGTAGACTCGACTCCAGCGTCATTTATCTTGTTTCTTTGAGTAAATGAATTCGTGGCATATTAAGTTATAGTTGCAAAATATTCAGAATGGTTGTTTCTACTTTTCAGTGACTTTAATGGGTTAGAAGACTCTACTTACCCTTTCCCAGTTTTACAGAGAGAGAGAGAACAAGTGTTCTTCTGGCGTCTACTGTTATTGATTTCAATCTAAGTTAGTGAATCAGTGATCGATGCTTTTATTTTAGGATTAGTGAAAAGGAATGAGGGTATTAATTCATTATGAATATTAATCTATGGTTTTCATATTAATCAAATCTTGTCACCCGCAGCTTACCTTAAGGAAAGTTATTCTCTAACAATTCTTAGCGTTTTATTGACGAGCCCAATAGTATCAAAACAACTTATTGATCAAATTTTTATTGAAAATTAAATGTCATTTAATACCTAGCAGATTTAGCATTGCCATAATCTTTAGCAGCTTCTTTACATTGATTCCATCTGTTCTTCTCTCACGAAGTAGATCAAATTTCTAGTTGGTGAATGAAGCTTCCGCTTCTCTAATGATGTATGAAATGCTTGTGAAATCAGATTCATCACATCCTAATTCAAATCCAGTCACTGTGAGAGAGATAGCCATGCATCTTCTTGTTTTGTTATAAGCCTCTGCTCTCTGTCTTCTACAAAATTTTGTAAACTTAACGAATTGCTAATTCATCTGTCAAACTTTGCTTTGCTTGCAATTTGACTCAATAATTTTATCACTAAAGCAAATCTCACTATATGTTTGAAATGTGATAATTTTCTACATGATTCTTCTAACTACTAAATTTTTATATGCTACTGATCTTGAATTTAAATACATAATTCAAATAAAATCTTCTTCCTTCTACATAATTTTTTATGCTACATACCAAATTATTTATTATTCATTGAAACTATTTAATATAGAAATCTAAATATAAAATTTTTTACAAATAAAATAATAAGATGAATTAAATGGACCTTATAAAATTTCATTAGAAGTGTGTATTTTTGAATCTTTCTAAGCCCTGTTAATTTTTAACCATTCCATCTCTAATTTTTCATAAAGAAAACTAAGAATGTATCAAATAATTAATGATATTCGTTTTTTGATAAACAATATTAAAATAAAATAATGAAGTACTTTCTTGTGTTGGCTTTGATTACATTCTCATATGCTACAACTTTGACAGAAATATCAGAAAAACTTTCTTAATATGGAGATCATCCTTTTGGAAAGTCAATGGTCAATTTGGTTGCAGTTAACATGAAAACAGGTGGTTCCCTCAACGAATTGAAATAAATCCTATAATAAATTAAGGATGAACTCATTGCTCTTACTTAATTGCAAGATTCAGAAAATGCTATATTCAATCGTAAAAGCCAGGTTGATTTGGCTAAATTATAGGCTACACTTGAATAAGCATAAGCAGATTTAGACAATCAAAGATAGGAGTAATCAAGTTTAAACAATGAATTATCTACTCTATAAACAAGAGTGAAAGAGGGTAATCAGATTGATTTTATTTTTTGCAGATTAAGCTGCTTTAGATAGAAACAGTAGAGGAAGTGGGGATGCTCAATCTAGACTTGATGCTGAAAATGCTGATTTTGCTACTAAATACTCTGATTATAATGATGCCATTTTAGCATGTAAAGAAGCATAAAGATTATTATTGAACTTGAGAGGTGAAGGAGCATCTTTAATTTAACTTACGTACTTCTTTGATAATTACCAATTTAGTTAGGATACAAAGAGCAACCTCATCTAAACTAAAGAAAACTTTTAAAAAATAAAGGAGATATTGGAGGCTCATACCAAAAAGAGTTCCTTAACCTTATTCCAACCAATCATTGAAGGACTAGCTGAAATGACCACAAAGGTTAATCCAGAAACTTTGAACAATGTTCTAAGTTTAGTAGCTCGTTTGATTACAGCTCTCTAAGAAGGTTAAGATTAATTAGAGTCTAATCACAAAACTTAAGTAAATGTTCAATTCATAATAAAAGGTTGATAATTTGACAAGATTGGGTGATGATTTGAGAAACGAGAAATAAACCTTATAGGTTTCTTTAGCCACTGCTAACAATAGACTTAAAGAAATCTAATCAAGATTAAATGAATTAGATGGTTTGATCAATATTTCAAATGCTTTAGTTGAGGTTACACAATTAAACATTTAAGATGCTACTAAAGTCAATGAATTAGAAGATTCAGAATACAGTAATTAAAAGGTCAGCAGGTATGGTATTTGATTATTTTTTTATAGATAAACTGAAATCGATATAGTTGATAGACTTATTGAATACATCAATTAAAAATTATCAGAATGATTCAATACAATTATATCAAAAAAATAACTATATTATTTTCATATGAAATTAAAGTGATTTGAAAAAAGGTTTAATCAACATAGCCTTTCAATATTGTTACAAGATTTCAGTTTTAAACCAGGTCCTTAAAAAGGAAGATGTACTGGGGAGAATGAAAAATCATCATCTGCATCCTCTAATTCAGATTCTTCATAAAAAATTTTTTAGATGGACTCCCTTCTAATGAGTCCTTAATTGTTCTATTTAATTTTACTATACAAAAGAGTAATATCAGCCTTTGACATCTAAGTATCAATGTTTAGCAAAACTTGCTCGAATTTATTTAAGCTGATTTCCTAATTTTATGAAACTCAGCACTAAATAATCATTTTAAGATTTACTTCTTTACATATTTATATAATTGAAATCGAATTTAATCTTTCTCGAACAATTAGCTCATCAAATACATTATCAATTTTAAATTAATCTTGCTAAGTTAATAAAGCCAACAAGTATCTAAAACTTAAGCTAAGATTATCTATTAAAATATTTGATATTTTTAACATCATTTTAACTAAACCATAACAAAATACATTCAAATGGAATAGTATCTCTATTGTTATGATTCAGTTTATTAAATACTATTTCTGCATCCTCTATTGTAAACTATTTATCAATAGATTATAAAAGTAAATTGAGATCATCAATATTTAATTTTTTTGGAAGTAGATATTTTAGAATAAATAATTTATTTTAAATTTTCTAATTTTCATGGTATTTCTTTGCTGGTGATTATTTATTGAGAATTACCATATATTTTTTAAATGGATTTGATCGAAATAAAATTTGATTGTAATTGTCTACCCAATCTATTTTGTCTTTTTCATTGATTTCTCGACAACTCTTTAATAAATGATTTGCTGACATCACTCACAAATAGGTAAGTCGGCACTCTAGAGGTTCTTCAAAAATTTATTTTAGAAGTTTTTGAGATGTTTCATGATAGCAAGGGCTATCTCTTCATCAAATTATTTACTTGCACCAAATAAGCATTCGTAAAACAATATTGCAATTGACCAAATATCACATTTACTTGTATAATTACTATGTTATTATACTTAAGGGCTACAAAAGTGTACCAACACATTAATTCAACATCTTTTATTTAAAGATTTAAGTTGCCAAACGTCTCGATGTATAAATAAACATTTCATTTATCTCACCTCTGCTATGCCGTACTTTAAATAAAATTTAGTATTCAGAAAGAATATCAAGAAGAATTTTAATTGTCTCTTTTTCATTAAGCTGTGACTACTACAATATTTTCTTCAAATCCCCCTATTGACAAGTTCTTATATTAGATAATAGATCGACTGGCTTTCACATAAATCAAACATTTTTACAATAGTTTTTGAACGAAGTTTCTTCAGAATTATCATTTCATTTATGAAAGCCTTCTCTGAATATGATTCCCTAAAGTAAAAATAGAAGAATCACCTTCTAACTTAGACTTTTTAACAATTTTTAATGGCAACATCAGTTTAAGTACTTTAATCAACTCCCTAGTAAACACAATCATAGTTGCCCTTACCAATTAAATAGCCTGGATAATAGAAATATTTTTCAATACCCTTACCCTACTACATTTGAAGATTCACAATTTAATATATAGAAAAAAAGTCAATTAGATTTGACAAACAAGCAAAACTCATACTAATTAAAGATGGAAAAAAAATTGTCCTAATATCAACTGTTATTTAAATAATTTAATGAATTTAAAGCTCTTTCATTATTGGATTTATTTTTTGACTGACTGCAATAAAAGAAAGTGAGTTTTATTGAGTAATTAATTATTTATATCTGTTAAAGTTAATTATTAGTCATACTTGAATATTTATATATAATGCTATTAATCTTAAAAATTTTAAATTCTTTTTCTAACTTTTTCATTGGTGTTCTTTTTACTTGTTATTCCAAATTTCAATAGGAATCAATTTTATTATTTAAATAATAATAAAAAAGTTATATGATAAATTACACTTAACAAACTAGTTTTTTCAATCATTAAATATTCAATATAAAATACTTTAATTTCAGTATCCATGAATAAACTAATTTAAATTGATTTGAAGCATTATTTTTAGTTTCTTCCTTATATTGATATAGATTTAATAGGACTTTATTTAAAATGTTTTCTATAAGTAATTCAATAATCTCAACTGTCATTAAAATAAGGTTGGAATAAATAAAGTTTTTCAATATGGTGTTAAATATATTTTAAGTTGATTAAAAAGCAAAGCAGTTATTTGGAATACTAAACTTAGGTTTAATATATTCTAATATATATATTCTTAAAAAGAGTATATTTATATAAAGAAATATATTTAAATAAATAAAATTTATAATGATTAGAGATGATTTGATATATTTCAGACGCAATTCGAAAGGTCATAAGGCAGAACCCTCAATAAAATAATGAACCAGATATGGAAGAAACTAAGGAAGGAGGTGATACAAATTCTTCTTAATCTGAGCAAGAAATAAGTGAAGACAATTAAAGTCTAATCCGTGATTCATTAATATCCTCTTTAACTCCAAGTTATTTGCTGATGAGCAGTTACAATTCATATATATCGCGATTCGAATAAATAACCAGTAGTTCAGGCTCAAATTCTTCAAGTTCAAGTTCAAGTTCGAGTTCAAATGAGACATCTGAGAGTGAGGATGAAGATGAGGAAAGGAAAGAAAATTTATCTGTATCAATTTCTGAATGATATATAAATTATTTAATCAGCTTTTATCATGCAACAACTGATTCATTACAGCATTTTTAGTTGTACTCATTTCCAGCAAAAAATAATTGCTATGCACATAACAAAATATGAATGTATATGTTTATTACATTTGGATGTTAGTTTATGTAATTACAAGATATTAAATGCAGTTGGTAGCGCTATTTGCAATTAATATTACTATCCTTTGATTAATAGACCAACTTTGAGCCTAGGAACTTTGTTTTTAATAGGAAGTTTTGTTAAATGCTTATGATGAGGTAAGTACTAGTCATAAATCAGTGAATTAATACTTGTTTCAACATTTCCATTTAAATTTGACTCTGCCTCTTTTTAGAGGGGCATACTATTTTTAATTTTTTTATTTTTAATTTATGAAAGGTGGTGCAGCTGTATAGTAAAACACTGTGATTGATAAGATATCAATATTATAAAATAAGATATTTGCATATAGCAATTTAGCAGAAAGAGAAGGAAAAGTAATTTTTCCAAATATTTTTACACGGTAAAAATATATAAATATACTAGATAATAAGATATCATTCAGAATTTAGTTTTTCTGCAAAGAATGGGAGTAAACGATGACATATTTGTTTTGGGATTATTTTTGGTTGACCGCCTAACAACAAATAACAACTTTTACCTAAACAAAAGGAATATTTACAAGTACCTAATTACATATATATTTGGAAAGTCTTCTGATGACAGCCATCATTCTGTGTCTTAAGATGTATGATGATAACCAAAATGTTTAACACATCTATTCAATAATATTTGAAACCAATAGGGGGATGCTGAACAAAATGGAGAAAAAATTCTTGAAGCTAATAAAATACTAACTATTTGTGAAAACAGAAGATTTCTTCAATTACAGAGCTCGGCTTCTTAAATTAAAAGAATGATGGTTTACACAACTCATAAAAAACTCCATTTAGAAACATAAATTATATAATATTCATAAAATATATTTGCACTTATATATTCTTAATTTTAATAACAATATTCCATACTTTAACACTATAATTTTCATTTATAATATGTTTATTAAATATTTACGCATTTTTCGAAATTGCTTCAATTAATGCTTTAAATAAGCCTTTAATAGTATTGAAATTACTAATGTACTCCTTAACCATGTAGAATACTATTTATATTTAATCAAAATCTATTCATAGATAGTTTCACATTTCAAGAACAGACATGATTTATTCATGATTCTTATTCTGATTCATCCCATAATCAATAAAATATTGAATTTTTTGTCAAATATTTATGTTTAAAGTTATTCAGAGTTTAAATAGGTTAATTTTTATAATTATTGTTTTTAATTGGATGATAAAATAAGTTTTATGCGCATGTCTATAATTGGCATGTATAGCTGTAGAAGATGGCCGTTATTTTTAATATATGGAAGTAATTATTAATATGATGGAAACAATAGATTGACAGAGATGAATTTGGCAAAACTTTGATAGATACATTGACCCTTAATAAATCTGGTGGACATTCATGAATAAAATGGGTATGAATAAGAAATGAATGAAAATTCATATGTTATTTCTGTGATTTCTGAAGTTAAAAAGAAATTCACTTTAAATGGAATCAATTTTATCTAAATTAATAATCAAGAGGCATTAATTAACGATTTAAAAAATGCTGTAGATGAAAGCAGGATCTTCAATAAAATACTAGATTTTAAGAAGTATTTGGATTGTTGTATAAGTTGCGGAAAAAGTGAAAGGCCAAGGTGCCGATAAATTGAAATATTTGTGTGATGACATATTAGACAATGTATCTGACAATATGTCATTCATACGAAAGTAAGAGGATAAAAGAAGAGAAATATTCGAAAGACAGATTTCATCCTTATAAAAGGATTTACAATAGGTATAAAGTGATAAATCCATAATTGATGCAGGATTAGAATACCTTGATAATTAGATATCTATGGGATAAAATGATTTGGCAGATTATAATGCAGAATCGAAAGCAAAAAATAAACCAAAGAAGATAGAAGAAAAAAATGCACCTCGGCTGCTTGTGAATACAAATCAAGTAGGGAATAAAATGACCGAAAAAGACAATTAGTTTCCTAAGTAATAGGATTATTTAGTGCCAATTAAAGGGAATTTAAAGAATACTTAAGTATTAGAAATAATTGATATTGTATGGAAGATTTTTATTATGTAAAATATAGATAAACAATCAGTTTATAAATAATTGTCTTGTTAGGATTCGTGAGATAATCCTGTTAATACTTCTTTTCAAATTAAAAATCTTTAATGAAATTAAAAATTTTTAGTAGTAATGTTCTTTCATAGTTCAACACCTTATTATATCTTTAAGATTCATAAATTAATGTGGTTATAAGAATGACATAAATAGGAAATTATTATGACTCAATAATCCATTCAAGTTGATCAGTATACACTTTACTGTTAATAAAAATTATTAATTAAGATTAAAATAATTGTCTTATAATTAAAGCATTTCATCCCATCTATTTCTAGAAATAGATTGAAAATCTGTTAATTTATACAAGCAAGAGTTTGTGAGATATTTGTATTTTCAATGAACGTATCTAATCAATTATTTAACTTAAGTGGATTTTCATCTATTTTTCAGGTCTTACATGGCAGTTCAAAATTGCTCTTTAAAATTATAGTAAGCATTCAAAGATTGTTATAAATTTATCACAATTCTTAGAAATCAACTTGGCAATTTATAAATTAAGAATTGGTAGGATAATTCCATAAATATATTTTGCAAAGTAATAAAAAAGTGAGAAGAGTAAATTTATTTAATTACATTTACTTGATTTGTATGATATTTCGTAAAATACAATTCAATATTCACAATTATTAATTTATCTATTTTCAGATGTTTATAAACTACGCAAACTATTTGCTAATGGGGTTGTGCTCAAAAGATCTAATTTACTGCATACTCAATCAATCTAGAATTCCCACAATCATTTATTTGATTGTTTTGACTGTTATGATAAGTAAATTGTCACATCATTATTCAAGTTTAACAAATACTGAAGATCAAATTTCGAATATCTCACTCTGAACTCATCCTCTCGTTTATTTATAATATAATCTACATTACTTTATTTGGAACTTCATCTATTTGGTAAGCTTATTACGTAATGAACATATTTCAAAAAACTAATTACTATTTTCTTGCTTCTTTTCCCATAATAATTTACTAATTGGTACTAGAAGTCTTAGAATTTGATTTGATTGTACCAAAGGCATTTGGCTTTTAGATTTCATCTGCTTCGATGATCATAATATATTAATTTTATTGTTTTGTTAAAGAAAATGATATTGCCTCGGTTGCGGAATAGGTGATTATAAAATAATTGTTGAAAAATAGCTACATCAAAGTCTTCAATAGAAATTTAGAAGATTTAACGCCTGATGTGTTGTTGAGAAATGTTAAACCTTCATCCGGATAAATCATATTTACCACTAGAAATAAGTCAGAAAACTTTGAATTAATCCCAAATTCATTAAATAAAGAACTAAAAATTAAAAGTTTTCTTAATAGCGACATGCAATTGGAAGAATCTGGAGACTCGGTTATTGACAGTCCTAATAAATACCAAAGTTATAAGGATTTGAAAGAATTTATAAATAATTTTATTTAGAATTAATAAACTTAAACTGAGGAAAATTTAATCATTGCCTCTGAAATTGAGATGGATTCTGGTAAAAAGTAAAAGTTCAAGGTGATTATCAACACAGAGATTGACAAATACTACATTTTAGCATTTATTAAAATTGATTCTGCAATTGTGAGGAAACAACACAATTCAATAGCAAAGTTCAAAACCAGATTGGCAAATAATTTTACTCATAAATTAAAAACATCCCTTAATGCAACATTAGCATATTTATCAAATGCCATAAATGATCGAAATTTAGAAAAAACGGTATTGCAATCTTACATCCATCCCTCTTACATACATTCAAAAATATAATTATATTAAGTTTAGGATTTGCTTGATTATCTCAACACAGAGTAAGATTAAATTGGATTATAAATAACAAAATTTAATCTCCAACAATCTTTAGGCCAAATATATGAATTCATTGAGTACTAATGCAAAGTGAAAAATATTGCCATTAAGTTTCTGATAAATGGATCTGATTGGAAATCACATGAAAGGTAAAATGTTCAACTATAACAATAGCTAATATTACCTTTATTCTGACTGCCAAAAATTTGAAAGGGTTTTATTTAATTTAATCAACAATTCGTATAGATATGCTCCTTTGAATGGCGAATTAACAATAGATTTAGTATATGATTCGATAAATAATAAATTACATGTTAAAATAAATGATAATGGAGATGGAATACCAGAAGATTAGATAAACATAATAAATACTCAAGCCTAATTATAAAATAAGTTTAATATCACTAATAAATATGTAACTTCTAAGAACAAATCGAAATTTGGGTTGACACTACAGATCACAAATAGATTGATTTATATGCTTAGTGACTAGAATTGTTCCTTGTAAGTCAAAAATTAAAAATAAATAGGTGGCTGTAGTTTCGAGTTCTTTATTATCATAAATTCTACATCTAAGGAAGGATCATTGGAACAAATTAAATACTCAAATTATATCAAATAATCTAAACAATCCTCAATCAAATTACAAAATCATATTAATCGATCATCTAATTCTTCTTCTTAAAGATCTATCTTTTCAAAAAATTAATAGGATGAATGTATCGAACCTATTGAAGAAGAACCTAAACCTGTCAAGCCAAGATTATCAAAAACCTATTAATGTCATGATAACAAATAACAAATCAACCCAGTAAAAAGACCTACTTTATCTGGAATAAGAGATCTACAATTGTCAAACATTATTGATCAAGTTAATCAAACTGGAATGAATCATAATCATAATCAAGATAACCGTTTCATCTTAATAGTGGATGATGAACCATTTAATCATAACACTCTAACTTTGATGCTTTAAAAATTAGGTCATAAACAATTCCTATATTCTTTCAATGGATAGGAATGTATTGATAAGGTTTAATAACATTCTTCATAAATCAAAACTATATTTATGGATTTAGACATGCCAATTATGGGAGGATTGCAAGTAATATATTCTATTCATCTAGCAGGCTACTTCAATACTTATTAAAATGATGACTGAAGGAAAAATAGACTATATTCCAATTATAGGTTGCACTGCTCATGATGATTTCGAGACACAAATCAAATGTTTGAATGTTGGCATGGCACATGTGGTCACTAAACCTGTTTTTATAAAAAGTTTACAAGAAGCTTATCGTTAGATTAGAGAAGAGCATTAATAGTAGGATCATCGTAGTCTTCAAATGTCAAATTCATTAGAGAAATATTGAAGTTTAAACTAATTTTATCTTCTTTCTTATGAAACTTAATATATTAGCTGATGATATATTGATATAATATTTTTAATAAATTAATCTTCGATATGAATTAAACAGTTTTTATCTCTCCTAACATATTTATTTAGTTCATGTATTTTTAATTTATTTCAATATTTATGCTGTAAATGTCATAAATAGGACATGACATTTTTATAGGATGCCTATACTAAAATATGATATTGATTGTAATTAGCGGAACCCTCCTCTTTTTTACTCTACGTATAAAATTTAAACAATATTGATAGTCATCTATTTGAATATTATTAAATACAACAGAAACTTTTACATCTCTCAAGCAATTTAATTTTGCTTTATTGTATATAGAGCCTATTTTTATGGTTCAGCCTAACTTTGGTCTTCGTTTCAATTACTTAATGCAAATTTCAAGAAAAATTATTCAATGTAATCAATTTGTTACTTTCTATCCTTACTTATTTTTGTAATTATTTATAGCTTACAATATGATGGTTTTTAAAAATTGAGCATGGGTAGCGAGATATTCTAATGTTCCTGTTATATGCTATACTTCTTCTATTAAAACAAAAATAATAATGAAAATTTAAAACTAATAGAGGACACGCTTCTGAATGAAATTAAAAAATATTGCTTTTTAAAAATTTTCAATAAAAATAAAAAATTAGTCATTACTTATCCAAAAACAGATGAATCAAAAAAATTTGACTATTATCCAAACAATAAACAATTCATTTATCTTTTTAAAGTGTACATGGATCAAGAATTAAGCAGTTCTCCCTCTAATTAAAAATCGTTCAATAGAACCAAAAGTTTTAATAATACTGAAGATTTCCTATCTTATTTGGAAACTGCAGATAACTTAGATAACTTAGGTTTTAATTGGTATTCTGCAACAATCCTTGATTAACAGACAAGAATTAAAACTAAATATCGCGTTACCTAATCTAAATTTGAAAATGATTCTATTGTACTATTCTTTATGAAAATTGATCCCACACTTTAGAGGAAATCTTTTGGGAAATTTTTGCATTTAAAAAAGGACATTTCAAATATTTTTACTCATAAGTTGAAAACTCCTTTAAATGCAGTATTAGGTCATTTAACCTAGGCTTATTACGACCAAGAAGTAGATGTATAAATACAAAACAATTACATTAAACCTGCCTATATAAATTCTAAATTGCAATTGTTTTAAGTTCAAGATCTAATTGAATATTTGAATTCTGATTAAGATAACTATACTTTGTAGATTTGCAAGATCAATTTAAAAACCCTATTGTATTCATTACAAGAGTTAATCTAGCAGTAATGTCAGATGAAGAGCATACACCTTTTATTTACTATTAATGAAATGAGGTATGTTAAATTAGATAAGTAATATTACCTATTAACTAATTTAGTATCTTCATTTATTCCGATGTTCTAAAACTTGAAAGGATACTTTTCAACCTATTAAATTTGACATATAGAAATACTACTGAAAACGGGTGTATTTCTTTAAATATAGTAATTGATAAAGATGTAGAAGAAGCTTCGTTTTCAATATCTGATACAGGATTAGAATTATCCTAAGAGGAAATAGATGAAATAAACTATCTAATTTCTTGCCAAAATTAATTTAAGCCCTTTAAAAAGAAACCGCATTATTAATAAGAAATGTTAATTACTCTATCATTAACTAGCAAACTGATAAAATCTGTGAATTAATTCACTAATTATTCTTTAGAGTTATGTTAAACTAAGAATACTGGTATAGTATATAAATTTAAGATCAATATCAATCGAGATAGATCAGCAGAGAACTCATAAGAATAATA